TTCCAGATCGTACGCTCGTTTGCCGAGGCCGAAAGCGTAGTGAAGACTTCTTTTCACTCTTTCGCCAGAGTGGTGTCCTTCAGCAGTCTCGTTCTTCCTGCTTTCATCCCGATAATTTATCTTTTCTCGTTCTTCATTCCTGATGGCATCTAGTTCACTGGGAGCCACCTCTCGTTTTCCCAGCCCAAGGTAATATCTATGTCCTTGGGGAAATCCCTTTGCTTCCTCCCCAAGTTCGTCATCAAATTCATTATAATCTATGTCAGATCTTTTTCCAAGGCCAAAATTGAAACGACTCCCAGATTGTCTACCAGAATTGACAGGTCTCTTCCCTAGTCCGAAAGAATATAGTCGGCCATCAGCACGTTTGCCGAGTCCAAAACTGTACAAAGAACCTCCCCTCTTGCCAAGACCAAACCCATAGAGTCGCTGAATACCTGAAGAAGGGCTTCGCTTTCCAAGTCCGAAACTGTAAGGTCTTGCTCTCTTTCCTAAACCAAATGAATAAAGCCTCTCACGTTTCTCCATAAGATCCAGATCAGAGTCTTCAAACTCCTCATCTCCGTTCGTTTGATCTTCGTCTTCATTCTCTTCAGCGTAATCGTCGTAGTCCCGTTTACCGAGGCCGAAAGAATACAGCCTACCTTCAGTCCCCGACCGCTTCCCCAGCCCAAAGCTGTACATCTTACTTCTCTTGCCCAGGCCAAAGTTATAAACAGGTAGTCTCTTGTATTCGGACACGTAGCTGTAGGCTCGTTTCCCGAGACCGAAGTCATAAAGTCGTTTGACGAAATCCAATTCGGCGTTTTCGGCCGATGATGAGTCTTCAAGTTGAGGCACTAGTCCCATACCACCGGCTGAAACGGGCGATGATTCTTCAGCAGTCTCGTGCGTCTCAGAAGGCGCTGATGCTGTGCCAAGGACCAATACAGTAAGATGCAGTAGCAGTACACTGAAGAGGGTCATCTTTAGGGACCCCAAACTCGACTGTAGACCCAACATAGCTTCCTGCAATCACAGTAAACAGAAAAAAACAGTTAATTTCCTGTAGTTAAAAAACTAAGTTCTTCATAAAATATTGTTTCGAAAGAAATATGTTCAAGAACTTCATGTAGAGAACGACGAAATTTACCTTCACCAAAGAATGGCAAAAAATTTACTACACGAATATATTTCGAGGTTGTTAAATTATTGAATGGGGTGGATTACGTTCAACTT